TAGAATTTTAATATGAAAATTAGACTTAGAGATTGTAAATAACATAAAAACTTCATTTAGGTAAAAAACAATAGTTTTCTTAATTTTGTCTTATTTCCATTAATTTTTGTGAATATATTTTGCAATTTTGATCATTTGAATAATGGTGCAAGGAATTCTAGAGAAATTTCATGAACTTTTGGCTCTTGGGAAAAATATTAACTGAGGGTAACCACTCTCAGATAGCAGAGTAATCACTCCAGGGAGCTGGTTTCAAGGGAGAGACCAGAGTAACCACTTTCAGATATCAGAGTGATCACTCCAGAGGCCCCAAACCCCAAGTCCCTGCACGTAAACACTCTTAGAAATGAGAGTAATCACTCCAGAGACGTCCAAAAGGAAGTACCCTGCGCGTGTTTACTCTAAAAAATGAGAGTAATCACTCCAGAGATGCCCAGACTCAAAGTACCTGCACGTGTTTACTCTCAGAAGTGAGAGTAATCACTCCAGAAAGGGAAAAATCTAATGTTGCTGCCCGTAAACACTACTGTTTACAAAGTGATCACTATGGGGCCATGTCAGACTTAGTATATATAGATTTTTAGAAATTAGGGTACGGACCTTTTTCATAATTTTAGATTCTTTGCCACTTTTGAGAGCATTTTGCAGAGCTTGAGATCCTTGGGTGACAGCCAAGGGCAATTTTAGGGTTTGATTTACAATTTCTTCTTCAATTTCCTTTAATTATTGCATTAATGTCATTGAATTCCTTTTTCTTTCATCTTAGTTTTGTAAGACCCATCTTCATGGAGGGCTAAACTTTCTTGTAATCCTTAGTGAGTTCATGTATTCTTGAATTCCTGGTATGAATGTCAATATAATTTCCTTTCCCTCATGAATTTACAATTCCTAACTCTTTGAACTAAATTAATGTTTTAATGAGGGGGACATTGCTTAATTAACCCTAATTCATTTTAATGAAATTTGTAACTTAGTTTGCTTAATCCTAAGTTAATTTCTAAGGTAGCGTTATCTTGGGGATGAGAAGTTGGAGCCCATATAAATTGCTTAATTCATATGGGAATCTAAGGTTAATTCATGCTTTTTGAGTTACCCTAATTTAGAGGAAGAGGAAAAGTATTGAATCTTGAGAGGGATAAGGATAGAATTGCATGAACAAACTAAGGATTGCATATTTCATTGATTGGATTCATTAATTTCATCACTTGCCTTTACATTAAAATTGGAATCACACAAAACCCCCTTGTTTTAATTGCTTTCATAGTAAATGTTCACAACATGTTCAATGTATGTTACAAACTAAAGTCTTTGGAGACAACCTAGGTTTGCACCCTAGATTACATAAATTTTTTTGCAATTTTTGATGAAGGTTAACGACAAAATCTTTGTGCATAACGAGTAGCAAAAATTCATTCCATCAAGGTCTAGTACCATACACGACCTCAAATGGACATTTTCCAGTAGTAGGATTACTGGAATTGGTGTAGGCGAACTCAACTTGGGGCAAGATAAGATCCCATTATCGAAGATTCTTCTGAACAAAGCTTCGTAGTAGATTTCCTAGAAGTCTATTTATTGCCTCTGTTTGTCCATCAGTCTGGGGGTGGCTAGCATTGCTGAACTGTAGTTTTGTGCCCATCTTCTTCCATAGAGTCCTCCAAAAATGGCTTAAGAATTTGACATCTCTATCTGAAGAAATGGTTTTGGGAATTCCATGCAGTCAAACAATCTCCTTGAAGAACAAATCAGCAATGTGAACAACGTCATTGGTCTTTTGGCAAGGTATAAAATGGGTCATTTTAGAGAATCGGTCCATGACCACCATTACTAAGTCCTTCTGTCGTTGTGTATGAGGTAATCCTAACACAAAATCCATGCTGATATCTTCCCATGGTGCAACTGGTACTGGAATAGGTAGGTATAGCCCATTGTTTTGGCTTTTGGACTTGGCAAGGTGACATATTCGACACCTTTGAATGTGACGAATAACATCCCTTTCAAGTCTCAGCCAATAGAAGTTTTCTTTAATTAAGGCTATTGTTTTGTCTCGTCCAAAGTGTCCAGCTAATCCTCCGTCATGTGTTTGCCAAATGATTGCTTCTCTTAAGGAGCATTGGGGAATACACAAGACATTATTTTTGAATAGGAATCCTTGTTGATGATGGTAATGTTGGAAAGGTTGACTTTCTGTAGAGCTCCAGATGTTGCGGAAATCTAGATCATCTTGATACAATTCTTTAATAATTTCAAAACCTACTACCTTCATCTGCATTGTAGATAGTAATACATGTTGTCGACTTAGCGCATCTGCTACACTGTTTTGAACCCCAGATTTGTGTTTAAGCAAAAACAGATAGGCTTGAAGGTACTCACTCCAAGATGCATGTCTACGACTGATCTTTTGTTGAGAATTCAAGTGTTTCAAGGCTTCATGATTTGTATAAAGGATGAATTCCTTAGGAAGCAGATAATGACTCCAATGGATATTTTCTTGAAATTATAATGTCCAAATGGATACTTTAGGTATAAAAACCTATGGTTTGGTTCAAGATTCACCTAAAATAGAATTTTATAGCAAAGGCTATGAGCAAAATAATGTTTTAAGAAGTGTTTATGATTTATGTTATTGATTATCATATATGTGAACTATTAATTTTGAACAACATATGTTTTGGAGAATGAAAATAGGAAATGCTAAACTTTATGATAGGTGATTTTATTAAAACCAAGAAAGTGTGATCTTCGGCAATGTAACTGTATTATGTGATTTAATTTCAATGTGTTTTAACTGTACAATTGGAGCTGAGTCTGGAGGTGTTCCACCTCTAACAAATTGTTTGATGATTAATTGTAATTAAATGGAATATTATTATAATGTATTGTTGTTTGAAAATTTATGTATGTTTGAGTATTATCTAAAGTAAAAATATGACTTTTGAAACTATATAATTTAAGTTGAGTGTGGTGGTAGTTGACCTTTGGCATATTGCATTGATTTGTATAATGACTAGATGGGTAGACCACGTACCTTTACCCAAGAGTTGGAGACTAGCGCTGAGGTTGTGGCTGATTCTAGAAACCTCGAAGAAGATTAGGACTTGACTGCGAATAAGCTAGCAGAGATAGGGGACTGGTTTGTGAATGACAACTAGGATTATGTCCTCAATGTTTTAGTGTGGATGTCTAATTGCTCGATAGGACATATTATTTTGATATTGTAAGACTTATAATTTTTTGAAATTTTTGTCTCATATTCTCACCTTACTTTCGAAATGTCCACTTTATTTGAGACTTCAAATTGCATAAGTCACAACAAGTTTTAAAGGGAAAATCCCAACTTGATCTTTATTTAAAAAAGTTTACTAATTTTATTAATTATCATAGATGCTATACAATGATGGAAGAATACTAAAAGTCAATTTTTTGAATAATCAATATTGGCACATCCTTAATAAATACAAAAATTGTCTCTTATAAAAAAAATATGAAAATTTTAATGTGTAATCATAATTGATTCCTAGTTTGGTAGTGATGGTAATTTATATCATTTGCATGCCACTATTATTTCAATTTTAACAATTAACTTTTTATTTTAAATTTTTTGTTAGTAATATTTTAAAATTGTGATATATAGTTATGAATATAAATAATGACGATGTTGATGATGAGAATGACAATGAAAAAGTGCAACTGTTTTCTTCTAATGCAGTATCAAATTCAAATATTCTTAATTTTGAAGATGATAATTTAGATTTTGAACGTGTTGAAATTTGAGATTTTATTTTACTTTGTGAATTATATTTATGATTTTGACTTTGATTTAAAAACTTTATCTTGATTAAGACTTTGAAATTGTTGTTGATTATTACTTTGTTTGGGTTTGTAGACTAATGGATTATGGTTTATGATATTTAAGTTTTTAATTTTAACAATTTGCATGTAAATTAATGTATTTTTTTAAAATTTGTAATTCTAGTTTAATCATATTTTATTAGATTAATTTGTAATTATAGATAATTTTTATATTTTATATTTTTAATTTTAATGTTTTTATAATTTTATAAATTAAATTTGAAAGGGGTTGACGGGCTAGACTACGATCCATCTCTGAACAGGGCATACTGTACTTTCTTGTTTAAATTCAAAACCGAGCTAGTCTGATTAAGTCCAATCATAGGCAGGTTGAGGACACACAAGCCCGAATTGACAACCCTAGTCATTAGAGTAGCGTACATGTTACATTTTGATATGTAAAATGCCTATTATTTTTCTCAAACTTCTTTGACAACGTTAAATTCATCTATTTTGGAATTAATTTTTAAATAATATTATTTTGATAAATATTTTTTAAAACTGAAGTGAAACAACCATGTTTCATTTTCAGTAATAATTTTTTGCCCTTCATTCTACACAAAAAGGAATTTCACATGGTGACAGTCAAATCATTCCCATTATTTGGACAAACCAATTTTACATAAACTCGCCTCAAAATGTTGGATAGCTTATTAAGGCTATATATTTGATAATACCATTTGTGAAATATATTTGACCAACGAATTGCACTGTATATAGCTAAAGAAATCACTGAGTTGTACATATGAAGAATAAGCGTAAAATTAGTCTTTGAAACAACTATTTCTCTTTCAAAATAATGCTGGTGTATCGGTTAATGATAAAAACATATCGTGAGAGCATCTTTGGAACCAATAATTGCTCAATGCAAACATAATAGCCACCATTAGTCAATTAACCTTGACCTTTATACACAGAACTCAGTCACACCTCATGAATCATGTAAATAACTTGTTCTGCCAAAGCCAAAAGTCATTTCCCGTTGCTGCCAATGCCACTGAACCCTACAAATCAATCCACACCGTCCTCTCGCAAAATGCAGCACTTGGCAATACAATCGATTAACAAAGAGCCACGTTGCTGTTGTTTTAAGCAGATTATGCAGTGTCCTGAACAGAGAATAGCAGAAGATACTTGGCGTTGAAATGTTATAATTTGTTCTTCCTCACGAATGTAGGTGTAACTGAAACAAGACCTATAAGGAACAATGTAGCTATTGAGTTGAAATCATAAAGATCCCCCAAGGATTGCAACTCTCCAAGAGCTAATCCAGCCTGCATAAGAAACAGGGTGTTCAATATACAATGTACGAGAAGTTGAAATTCTAATGATTGCTGTTGCAAATACTAATAAAGAACATGTTAAAAAGTCTACCAAATAATTATAATAAAACGATTGAATTTCTTATTTTGTGTAATTTTTCTCTCTTTTGTACAGATAAATATAAATAATAATAATAATAACGGTGATACTTTCACATATCCTGACAGTGACATAAGCAGCAGGAATGAGTCCAATTACAGTTCCGAGGAAGAAAGTATGATATGGCACATCAACAATTGGAGAAGCAACATTAATAAATGTGTTTGGCAAGGTCGGAGTAAGTCTCAGAAAAAGCATGTAGTTCAACAGACTGTTTCTTCTTCTAGCCACCTGCAATTAAAAAAGGAAGCTTATTTCAGTAAATATGAGAATAGGATTAAATCAATACGAGGGAAATATTCGAAATTTGAAATCTACCTGGTCTTGAAAGAATTTAAGCTTGTCTGGCCAAAGAGTGCAAACAAGAGGTCTTCCAATTAGTTTTGACAGAAAGTAACACGAAGAAGCTCCAGCTGTAGCATTAAACACGACAAGAGCCACACCTTTGAAGACCCCAAAAAGTGCTCCAGCAAGCAATGACATGAACACAGTTCCCGGAATCATGAAAGTCTGCATGAAAATATACACCACGCAGTATCCCACTAGGACCTGTGCAGTGTAATCACTTGTATATCTCTCAAGGTGATCCCTACATAAATAAATATAAACATTAGCTATATCAAACATTGTGCATTTTATTTGATAAACATCCCCTTTTGCATTCACAATTCACACACACATCTAAATCAGAACAAAACGGATATCCAAATATTGAAATAAAAAGCAGACCCCATGCCTCAATTACAGTTCCCATAAAAGTTTTTCTTCTCTCAAACATTGGCTTCGAAATTGTGCTGAGACGTTACCAATGTGTGACACCAATTATGTTTATTGATCAAGATTCATTCAACACAATAATAACCCAATGAAATTAATAAACTAATCGTATTAATTTGCGGCAAATTAGTCTTCATTAAATCGAGCTTTAACGCCATATAATAATAATATAATAAACAATAATACACGAGGTGGGGCCCACGCGCTTCCCAACCAGGAATCAGAATCAGAACCAGAACGAGGTTGTCTTGTTTTGTTTTGTTTTTTTATATATAATTTTATAGATATAGATGGCGTTAATAATAATAATATGATGATAACTTACAAGAGGAAAGAGAGAAGAAAAAAAATTGTATAATAACATAAGAATATTATTATTGTTATTACCGTAGGAGTTGAAGGTCTTGAAGGGTGCGAGGGAGCCTGAGGAAGCTGTAATCGGAATGGGGAATGGTTAGGTAAACAGCGAAGAGGCCGAAAACAAAGCCCAAAACCATAGCGGAAGCGGTTGCTGCTTCTGAAAAGGTCAATGGAAACTTGGGTGGCATTTCCACAGGCACAGCCTCAATGCTGTCACCCTCGTTCTCCATCTATTCCTCTTTCTCTTCTTCTGGTTTCTTGACGTTAAAGGGACATTTGTTTTTCTTTCTTCTTCTAATGGGTTTATTTATCTTCAATTCTACATGAAATGGAAAAGGACAGTGGGACAAAGTATATTCGTTGGTTGTATGCCTTCGATATCTGATTTGTTTACATCGATCTCCGTTCATCTTCATGGAGAAACAGAAACGCCCAAAACAGAACATACGGATACACTTTGATGACTAACACTTTCTCAATCGTTATTACATTAATTTTTCATCATTATGATAATATTGAGATTTGCCTTAATTTAGAAACAAAAATATACTTAATTTAATAAATAATATTAAAAATTTAAATTAAATAAAAGTTAAGCAATATTATTAAAGATAAATAAAAAATTCAAATAAAAACTCATGTAACATAATAATAGTTTTTTTTTTACCAAAATAAGATAAAATTAAAAAAATTACCAAAATAAAATATTAGTAAAACATATTCTTTATTTGCAAAAAAAATTTAAACTTAAAATCAACTTATATAATCTAAAAATATTATTTTATAAAGTTATTAATTATACATGTTTTTTTAAAATTTCAATATAAGTGTTGCAGTAATGTAATTTTAAAGACTAATTCAAATATTTATTTTTTATTTTAATGATTAATCATCTTTTAAAAATAATTAAAGAATTAAAGTTATTTGTAATCTTAAAATATGAAATTGTTAACATTTTTTTTATAATAAGAAACAGGTTATCTCTCATGCCTATTTTAGTACCAATTTTGGACAATTAAAAAAAATCACAAATTTAAGAAATTATCAATATGTAATAACACTAAAAGTTAGAACACGTAATTTTATCAAATGATGGAAGATTATAAAGTTTCTTAAGCTCTACTAGAAAAAGGACTTAATTATGACTAGAAATACTAAAATTAAAAAAGGAAATTAGAGTATTTAAATCCTGCTTTTAAACTTTAGAAATTAGGACAAAATTAAAATGAACAATGAAAACAAAAATTGATGAACAAGATAAAATAAGAATTGGTTGTATTTCATGCTATAAAATTTGAATTTTGGTGTTTTAAAATAAAAAAAAATTCACATTTTAAATAACAATTTAGACACAAAAATAATTGGAAAAGACGTAAAATGGGAGATATAATTTTAGCTAATTGAAACAAAAATTAAGAATTAAGAAGAAAATTGAAATATTCATCAACTAGGGCAAAATTTAAATTCCCTTTGTTAATACAAATAAAATACATAAATGGAATAACGAAGAACAAAGGATAGGTGCAAGAAACATATTTGATTGATAAAGTTAAGCTGATTGCAACAACAATTGGAATTATTGATAAGATCTTAGAAATAAAAACAACTTTAACTTTGAAATAAAACTCATAGTTTTGTTAAGTTCAATTTGAATTCTACCTTAGAGTTTGCCTAGTTTGAAATCAAGCAAAAAAAGAATTGAAAGCCTCTTTATTACAAGTAAACTAAGATGTTTTAGTGGCCATTAAGATCATGCTTAGCTTCATGTTATCAGTTTGAATCTTGCTACAAATACTTTATATATAATTTTAATCATGAACTAAAAAAAAAAGAAAATAAATAAATAAATCATCTATTTGAATCATTAGGCTTATTTCTTTCAAATTCAACAAAAATAAGATAAGTGATGAGTTTCAATTCTACGGACAAATTTTTATTGATATCTTGAGCTTCAAATTGATGTTAGGCCTCCTAAAGAAATTATATTTCAAATGTCACTCTTTTCCTTTCTTTGATTAGCCTTCTCGACTCTTGACCTTGTCATTAGCTCTTGACTCAAATGTCACTCTTTTTCTTCCTTTATTTGTATGTCTAAGTATAACCCTTAATCTTCTTTTTAATTTAAATTCTTACCTTTTCATGAACCCTTTTCACATATTCCACCTGATTCTTAAATTCAACATTGTTAGGCACTAGTAATAAATTAAGAGATGTTTAAGGATTAAAGCAATATACTACCTCAAATTGAGAATAATTAGTAATCTTATATGAAAATTCTACATTCAAAAAATACTCCTCCTAAGACTTTAGTGTTTTTCTTTATAATAACTTTAAGGGCTTTTTTACATAAATAAAAAATAAAATAGAATATTATGTATGTACTCCTAATTGTTTAGATGAATGTCCTACTTCTCCTTATATAGAAGTCAACTAAAATTGACTTCTACACAAAGAAGTTAATTAAAACCAACTTTTATTAGCCTCGTTGCGGCACCGCTAGTTGCCATTTCACCATAGTTGAAGTCAATTTCAATCAACTTTGATTTGTTTTTCTTGGTGTCAAAGAAGTCGATTATAATTAACTTCAGTGTAATTTTAAAGATGTTTAAAGTCAACTTTTACAGCTATTTAAGCTCTCTACATAGAGGAAGAAGAGGAGTTGAAAGCAGAAAGGAAAGCGGAGAGCAGACTATTTGAACCAAGGAAGAAGGTGGTCCATATAATTATTATGGAAATGGATAATAATGTATATCGCCTTAATTATGTTGATCATATTGTAAGTAAACTCTTAATGTAGGTAATTTATTTTTTAATTTTTTAATTTTTTAATTAAATTTTATTTATTTTTTTAATGTGTCATTAGTTCTCAAATTGTATGTATAGAAAAATATGTAAATGTATAAGTATAATGTATATTGTCTATTTAGTGTATATGTAACATATCATGTTTATATTATATATAATCAATTGTTTGTTATACAATTATTAGTATATAAAATTCTAGCATTGTTTTGATGTAATTTACTATTTTTTACAATAAATTAAATACCTATAGTTTCATGTAAACAAATATTTAGTTTCGTATTGTAGTAATTTAATTATTTATTTATTATAATGAGACTTTATACATGGAGATAAAATAGTTTAGTGGTTTTATATAAATTTAGTTTTACAACTTTGCAAGTACATTGTTATAATTTACAAAATTTAATAAATTAAAATGTAATTTCTGTTAAATTTATTTTGTGATATAATTAATTTAAGTTTAATTTTGTTGTAATTTATTTATTTAAATTTTATATTGTATATGAAGAAAATATTAACCAATAATTTGCGTGATATATAATATTTTCTTATTGTATAAGATTCTAGAATTTAAAAAACTAAGTGAAACAATATGATGGTTGCTGCAGATTTGAGGGTAGAACCATTTTTTGCCAAGGTTGTCACAGATGTTGATAATGGCAAATTGAAGATAAGAGCCCAAGAAGAAGAGATCAATTTTAATGTTTTTCCAACCTTGAAATAATTAAGTAGTATATAACACCCTCTTTTCATTATATAGAAAATTATATTTTGTTTGATATTAAATAGTATTAGAATGTGTTAGGAGTAAATTGAAAAGAGTTTTAGAAGAGGTTGATGCAGGAAATCTCGCTCAAGCGAGACTGAGCGCCCAGAAATATCTTATTTCAGAGCAATCTCGCTCAAGCGAAATAATTCTCGCTCAAGCAAAATATGATAGAATCTGCTCAACTATCACCTCGCTTAGGCGAGAGTGATCTTGTTCAGGCGAGATGAAGATCTCACCCAGGCAAGCTGTGTCGTTCAGGCGAGGACTCACAGGAGAAATATCACCTCTCTGGTCACCATCTCGCCTAAGTGAGATGGAGTTCGCTCAAGTGAGCATATCAGAAAAATATTGAAAGAACCATTGTCTGCATATCTCGCTCAGGTGAGAGGCCAGTCGCTTAAGTGAGATGTTGTCACTGAAGCGAGCTGTTTCTCGCTCAAGCGAGAGCGCGCGGGGCTAAGGGGTATTTAAGAGATTTTCAGCATGAAAATTTCATTTTCACTTTCACAACTCACGTTCCTCTCTCATTTTCTTTGAACTATCTCTTCCATTTCATAGATAAAAGCCTTCGAAACTCCAAAACTTCACCAAATCTGAGTTCAAACTTTGACTCTATGTAATCGTCAGTGAGTATCTTAGAGGTCGAACCTCTCATTTTCACTTCTATCTTATTTGTTTCCTCTTTTCTCAAAGAATCTCTTTTTTATAAGGTGTAGAACTACCTTGGTCTGTGAACCAACCTTTTCTTACTTTTTCATCACCAAAACTAATTTTCTAAGGTAAGGAGAGCTCTATGTTATTACTAAGAACAATTGTGCTTGTATTTATGAAAATGCTCGATTTGAGTATATGATGGATGGTAATATGTTTTTGATATATTTGGAATATGATTTGTTATGCGTGAAGCATGTTGTAACACCTAAATTTTAATTTCAATTAAATAATAATTTTGTAAATTCGAATAACCAAATTTTCATAAGATATTTCTAAATAAGAGAAGGGTTACAAATTAATATCAAATAACTGCTACACGACTAGTTCAATTACAACATTTTTCAAAATAAAATCTAAGTCCTATAGCAGTCTATCCGTCTCTTCACTAAGCCTGGTGCTGATCGTCTTGATTACCTAAAAATAAATGTAAGGGTGAGTACTCTACACTACTTAAAACACACAAATAACTATAGAGTCTCACCTCCAAATCATTTTAATCACATTACATAGACATATTCGCAGACAGTATTATCACACAGTTCATTCCACTACAACACCGGTGCACTCATGGCATCCACAGTATATCACATTCATAAATACAAATAATGGCAACAATCTCGTGCATGTGCACGCCAGCCATGCTCACTGTGGCACTATAATCACAGCTTCACACCATGAATGGTCGCCGGTTACCCCCACCTCATGGACCACGTGGGCAGTCACGGGTCGCTTAGCAAAGGTAGTGGTCAGAGGCCTAGTCAGGAAGAGAGTGTGTGGCGCGTAGTGCACCCGTTCCATAGTCGGTGTCACCGCCACTCTCTCCTCCGCAAGGTATTTCTACCGTCCTCATCTTCCACACCCCGAGTGTATCACTGAACCATTCACAGCACATTACAACGGCGCTAACACGCCCCATTCACATACATTTCATTCACACGCAAT